TCTTATCAGCAACTGTTGTCAAGGTTTGTTATTGGCAGTAATTATCTTCAGAAACCTTGTTGTCTTATCAGCAACTGTTGTCAAGGTTTGTTATTGGCAGTAATTATCTTCAGAAACCTTGTTGTCTTATCAGCAACTATTGTCAAGGTTTGTTATTGGCAGTAATTATCTTCAGAAACCTTGTTGTCTTATCAGCAACTATTGTCAACGTTTGTTATTACAGTAATTATGTCCAGAAATCTTGTTGTCTTATCAGCAACTATTGTCAATGTTTGTTATTGGCAGTAATTATCTTCAGAAACCTTGTTGTCTTATCAGCAACTATTGTCAAGGTTTGTTATTGGCAGTAATTATCTTCAGAAACCTTGTTGTCTTATCAGCAACTATTGTCAACGTTTGTTATTTACAGTAATTACATCCAGAAATTTTGTTAATCTTCAACAGAGTTTGTTCAGTACTTGTGTTGATTTGAACACATCGAACAAAGTAAAGACGTTTTTAAAACTGCGGCTACTCAAAAATAAATGAAACAGTGAAAACTTTATCTTTCAGTGGCTGTTAATCTACTCTCAACATTAGACTTCTAGTTTAATGTGAAAATTATGCTGTGCCCAAATAAATCTTAGAGAAAACCCCCCCAAAAAAACTTCGGAATATTCTGAAACACGGGAAAACAAGTAAGACTAGGAGTTGTCATCACGTGACCATTTCATGACTACGCAACAAGAGAAAGAAAAAAAAAAAAGAAACACACACCATAGAAACGTTAATTACACCCAAAAGGTTTCTAATAAGGTATACTAGGATTCAGAAAATAGGAATATTGTGTCAATCGATAAACAAGAAAAATGAGAATTTCTTTTACCTCCAGTAGCACAGAACCAACTCGTAGCCCGGCCGTGAGAAATCCAGGGAAACCATGCAACGAGCTCTATAGGAGAGACTTAATGTCTGTGCAGCTACAAAGATAAGCTTAGATATAGCACATAACTTAATTTAACATTAGCTTAGATTTCTACATTTCTTCTAAATACTTGCTCTTCAACCATTTCACAATTCAACACGTATGGATGTGTTTCTAACGGTTTGGATGGTAAGGTCTCTTCTGGACAGTATGTTCTTTCTGCGCATACTCGTGTATCTCCTGGATACGATCAATGAGCAACCAATTGTATGCGTTATAGAGGAAAGGTTGGGGTTTCGAACTGAAAGGATTAGACTTTGGAAGAGGATGTTTGCAGAAGAATCTTTTAATAAATAGCATAACTAACACACATATATAAGATCAATATCGTGTATTTACAAACGCCCCCTGTTGAGTTCGTGTGGGAGTGAGTGTAAATGTCAGTTCAACCAGACGCCCTTAGTTTGTCCGTAATTTTAAATCTGCTTTCAATCTATCTTTGATAATGTAAACAACTTACTCAAATATCTTTTATACGCAGTCGTAATAAGAACCAAAATAAAGTTAGAGATTATGTAAGTTGTAGGACATTATATCTTACATCGTAAGAGAAGATGTTTGTACCCATGGTTACATTGTCACTGTAAATACCAACTATAGTCCAGGGAAGACAGTTTTACAGGGGCTTTGGTCGTTTGAAACTACGGTTGTGGTAGATTAGATTATCTGAATTTAATCATATCTAGAGGAGTAGGTTGTTTCAAAAGTTTAAACGAAGCCAGATCATGACCAAATCATCTCTAGAGAAGTAAGATTGTTATGATTTGGTCATGATCTGGTTCTGTGTATAGTTTTATAACAATCTTACTTCTCTAGAGATGATTTGGTCATGATCTGGCTTTGTTTAAACGTTTGAAACAATCTTACTTCTCTAGAGATGATTTGGTCATGATCTGGTTCTGTGTATAGCTTTATAACAATCTTACTTCTCTAGAGATGATTTGGTCATGATCTGGTTCTGTGTATAGTTTTATAACAATCTTACTTCTCTAGAGATGATTTGGTCATGATCTGGTTCTGTGTATAGTTTTATAACAATCTTACTTCTCTAGAGATGATTTGGTCATGATCTGGTTCTGTGTATAGTTTTATCTCTAGAGAAGTAAGATTGTTACAAAACTATACACAGAACCAGATCATGACCAAATCATCTCTAGAGAAGTAAGATTGTTATAAAACCTTACATAGAACCAGATCATGACTAAACCATCTCTAGAGAATTAACATTGTTATAAAACTATACACAGAACCAGATCATGACCAAATCATCTCTAGAGAAGTAAGATTGTTATAAAACTATACATAGAACCAGATCTTAGTGGAACAACTATTTACCAACTCGGTATTTAACAGGTGTCTTTATTCTCGTTTTTAGTAAACATCTGAAATAATATATGTCGAATTCCAGAACATTTTCACAAGATAAAGTTGTTTTAGTAAAAATATGTTTTAGTAAGAAAGTTTTCAGGACTGTCGTGCTGTTTACGTGATACTAGCTGCAGTACAATCGTAATTTTAAGTGGTTTAGTTTTAGGGACGTAGTACATCAACTTGTGAAATTTTAGTTGTTGAGGAGTGGTGAGATATAACTTTATAAAACGTTCTATTGTCTTTATAGATTCTAAACCTTTGCTTATTCATTGTATAAATACATTCCAAATATGTATACTGAAACAACGAAAAATAATCCTTCATTGTTAAAATGATAAATTTAACACTGAGATATGTTATGTTTTTCATAATACTGAAAACTTTGAGCATTTAATTTTGGCTTAAATCGAATTATAAAAGAGCAAACACACTCTGGATTTGACATGTCAGGTTGTGACATGTAAACTTAGGAATATGTTTATTTTAGTAACCCCTGGAGAGAGAACTTGTGAGCATGCGTGGAAGGTGACATAAACTCATTCAACCTAAGGGGAATAACTCGAACTGTTCTGTTTAATTTCAACACTGTCCATCTTTATTAATGACTCGTGCGTGACTTCGTGGTTAGTGTATGGAACTGGGGAACCGAGGATCTCGGGTTCGAGACGTGGTGCCACCGAACACACTGTAAAGGCATTGAAAAAGTGACAGTCATTCCCGACTTATGCTGCATTTTGATCTGCATTTCCAAATTAGGGACGCGGCTATGGCTGAGCCCTTGTAGGGGTGGGGGTCTAACTCTTCCTTTTGGCCCATTGAGTGCAGGTGAAAAATTTATCAAATGAAGATGTTAACACCTGATTTGACAAGTTGACAAAACTTGTTAGTGATCCACAATTACCAATCGTACTCGGACTGCTTTTATCTTTTTACCGCACGTCATTCGTCGTAAGTGTCGTCTAGAACACTAAGAGATCACTAACTTTGTGCTTCCAGAGTCTGCAAGAGATAGAAGGGTTTTGAGATGGACATTCGTAAAAAATAATAAACTTCTTCATGGCGACGGTTGATGATACTAGTTAGAAATAGCCGTCAGCGAGTTGAATAACCGTCTTGTAGTCATAACTTTTGATGGTTTAGACATTTGTAAATGTATTTCCGCCAGATGGCGATAATTCTTGTGATATAGAAACAAGTTAAATAAACTGCTTGGTGGTCGTATTTCATGGTGATTTAGACCACACATTCCTAACCTGGGGTCTGAGAGTATAACCATGGTTTACACTTTACATGGTGTTTTAATCTACAGTCAGACAAAGTGGCTCACATAAATATACGCCGAGTTCCATTTATCGATGTTATCAATACTATAAGATCCTTATGCAGTCCACACATACAGATATCATAATAAAATAATATAAAATCTATATAATGTTATCAGTTTTTGATCCTTAATTTATAGGGGTACATGGGAACCTGTCAGAATGTCCAAGGCCAAAAGGTACATGGGAACCTGTCAGAATGTCCAAGGCCAAGGGGTACATGGGAACC